CAAATCGTTGAGCACAGTTCAGACAACGAAACAGTGCTCGGCAGTAGTCGGAAGCTGGGAGGAGCCGCTGGACATTTGATTGACGGTAGCAAAAAACGCATTTGTCGGTTGAGCTTTGAATTTTAGATTCCGCATGTCATTGAAAGGCGCAGTAAAAAGGTTAAATAACAGCTGTATGTTCTTCATTCATGAATCGCCGCATTACTGAGCCAATTTTGTTTTCTTTTCTTTTGTAATTGAAACAGGTTTTGTTGATAACAAGCAACCGCTCTCCTGATCAATGGATTGTCCCAGCTGGCGGAGTAGAGGTTGGAGAAGACAACCAGGATGCAGCTAACAGGGAGATATTAGAGGAAGTAAGTGACTTGCCCACCAATACTTGGCCATTAAGTAAAATTAACGTTTCGCGAGGTAACCAGTTTTCTCTTGATTCTAGTATTACTTCAAAAGCTAGACATAAATCTTTGGATTTGTGGGAGGCGCATAGCTTCGAAAAAGCATTAGATGTAGAAAACTCTGCACGAGGTAATTGATGAGGTCCTTTGATGTACAAAGCGCAAGTACACGGGCAAGTTTGTGCGCAAGTTTGCGTACAAGTATCGCGCAAGTACGCGCGCGAGTACGCGCCCAAGTGTGCGCACAAATGCGCGCGCAAATACGCACGCAAGTACGCGCGAGAGTACGCGCCCAAGAACGCACATAAATATGCGCGCAAGTATGCGCGCACGTATGCGTGCAAGTACGACTCAAGTACGCGTCTCGAGCTTGTGAGGAAGTTACCTTACACCAGGAGATGGGAAATTCATGTCCGAAAACTGGAAGTGACGTACGTAGTACACAAATTTTTTAAAAAGGACTATTTGATTAAATTCCCAGAGGCTTCTGTAGTCGTGTCAGTACTACCTCCAGATACCTGCTGCATGAGATGAGTTCAGTCACCTGTTCAGAGACCTGCACAAAACTCTGTTCTTGACTGATATCATTTTCTCTCCATTCTCTTGCAGGCTGGGGTGTGTGGAAACATTGTTCGTTCTCTTGGAATGTTTCAGGTATGTATAAACCTACGCCGATACTTTTTAATTTGTTTTAATCTGTTTGGTGACTGTACTGAATATTAGTCAATGCAGCAGCACTCTACTGTCTAAACTGAATCACAAGGAAGCGAATTGTCGAACTCATTTGATATACCAGTAACTGTTGAGATATGCTAAGATTATCACAATTATATGCGAAAAGGAAATTAAAGAAATTTGTTCGCGGAAGGAAGGACTGATGATACATGTATCCAGATTTAGTTAAAACAATTTGTAGGCAAAATGTTGGATAGCGAATTTACCATAACTACACATGCGTTAGATATTTTCTTAAGTACAAGATGATTTATTAAGTCGAACAGTTTTGCACTTGAAGATTTTTCAAGATTTTTCAAGACATTTTTCTTTGATCTTTTAGAACGACTCAAGTAATACAAGAACAATGATGTACGTTTTACATGTTAACAAAGTCCATGAAATGTGGCAAGATGCAGCCAGAGGTAACTTAACGAACACTTATTTATTTATTTATTTGTTTGTTTGTTACAATTTAATGACATCTAGCAATACAGAAATGCCATAAGGGTGGTCCGTAAAAGAGTCAAAGACCCCATACTCAGACAGGCCACGTAAAAAATATATTATAGACAGGTTAAAATAACGAGAATTTAAGGAGCCAAAGCAAAGGATAACTCTGAAATCGAATTGTGCATTATAAAATTATATGGTAAAAATTAAAATAAAGATAAACTTTTTATAAGCCAACCAGTTCAGTTAGTATTCGCTAAGCCGGTTCCTTACATCACGCTTAAAACTTGAAATACTAGACGCTGATCTAACTAGAAATGGAAGCGAATTCCGCATGTCTACAATACGATTAAAAACATGTAAAGTTAAAAGTGTTTGTTCGAGCAAAGTTCTTCTTAAAGGAGAAGGTCACTCCTTAAAGCTTACCTTTTTGTTTTCACTTATAGCAAGTAAACATTCAGCTTTTCCACTCACCGAAGTTTCAGTCGCTAAAGTTCCTGCTATTCTGAAGAAATTCGTCTCGAAAAAGAAGCCCAGAATTCGACTGCAAAATGGCGGCAACTATGTCGAGTTGTTGGCCTTCTTTATAGACGAATTTCATAAGGAAAAGCTGCACTTTAGAGGCTAAAACGTCGGTGAGTGGCTAAACTTAGTGCGAGGTTTTTTATCAGTGTTGGCAAAAAAATATACATTTTTTGCAGTGGCCTTTAAAGTAAGTCTACATTTTTGTCTCAAAGGGTAATTAGCAGTATTAGGGTGAAAATTGAACACTGGAATTAAATAAAAGGTCTTATGAATGCCAACATCGATTGCCTTTCTTTCTTTCAGGTCGAAGAAGAAGATGGTTTTCAATCGATGAAGCCTGGGCCCGACTCTCTCACAGGCCTCACCAACAATCCTACTTGTGTGACGTCATGCAGTCAAAGTGGAGAACAAACCCCAGTTTTGCAGTGTGTATCGACTGACAAAGCAAAATAACAAAAGATCCTGAAGGGATTTCCCTATAAATCTTTCTGATATGAATTCTAATATATATGCATGATTTAGATTCTTTTAAAATTGATTTACAAATACAATATACATAGGAAAAAACTAAACAAATAAAAAGAGGAAATACTGTGCAAAATTTTTTATGTAGGTTTTGTTTTATATTTTTTGCTCAACTGTAGATAGTCTATATATTATACGTGTTACTTAGCTCTTACAAATTACTAATAAACAGAATAAATTGTTCAGCCAAATTTGTCTCGTTGTTGCGTCTCGTATTCACGAAATTAAAACCTTCATTTCATTATTCAAGACAATAATAATGATGATGATGATTAAGACAAAGGTTACCTTTATAACGCGCAGACTTCCATTTGATGCTTATAACGCGTAGAAAAATCACGTACAATTATAATACATTAAAAATTGCAATGTGAAGGATAAAATGACGCGCTGAAGAAATTATAGTAAGTGGGGAGAGGTGGGTGAGGGCCTGAGGGGGGGAGGGGAAGGATTAGGTCTGTCCCGATATTTTTATTTTGTACTTCACAATAATTGCCAACATTGGTCAAGAAGAATAGAAAATATGGGCGAAATGTAAGGATACTCTGAAGTCTAACGGAACAAAACGCATGGTTCATTTGACGTCTTGCCGAACGATGTCAAGTGACAGGTTATGCGTTCAAACTTCACAAAGTTTATTTATGCAAAGAAATTTGCATAGTTTGAAGTTTTCTATGAAATTGTTGACTTTTTCATGTTTGATATGCGCTATGAAACTATATTTTGCTCAAAAAGTTGCTCAGAATTTTAAGGCAAAAAGTTGCTTCAAAAGCCAACAGTTGCTCTAAGGTTGCCAAGCACAATCGGGACAGGCTTAACATCATTTCCCCCTTTCCCCCCTTTTTTTTCGTTTTCCCCCTTTTCCAGCGTTAATTCGGATTCAGTGGAACACCAAATCGAAAGACGACAGAAACCCATATACTATACTGAAAGGTAAAACAACGTTTTCCTCTAGGACAAGGACAGTGGGATACATGTGCAAAATGCCCTGGAGGTGATTTTCCTCGTGCAAGATTCCCGTGCAAGTTTATCACACTGTGCAGCGATTTCATGACACTTACGGCTTGGAATAAATTGGTATCTGAAATAATTGGGTAGGGGGGTTACTCCCAGAAAAATTGGGCGGAGATGTGCAAAACCCTTGCCCTCTATAGCACCAAAATCTGCCATTTCGCCCACGTTAGGTCCTATTGATGACCTGACCAAAACTTCGATACCTAAGCTAGTTCAGACCAATTTTTATATGCTTTACTAGCTTCTTCAATAGAACAGACCCAGTTCATCAGATTAGAGCGCAAAAACCATACCCTATATTTGAGACCAAATTAAAATGGCCAAAATTGACACCATATTTCTGACCAGAACGGCTAAAAAACCATATCTTTTGGGGGCGCACATACCCTTAAACATACATAAGGGAGTTACTAACCCAACTGCCCCCGGCTCGGGAGAATGGAAAGTACTTTCATCATCGGGCTTTCCATCAGTCGGACCAAAAATTCGTTCAATAATAGAGATGCTTACTGCTTAAAGATACCCAAATTATGGACTGAGGTCTGCAAACATGTGCACGAATGACACGAATCACGAAGTTTTGGCCCAAAATAGGGCCAAGATTTCGAGAACTGCCGCCAACATGTGCCTGTTGGCCTTATCAGAGTGAGTGCGCGTGACTTTAGGCATAATAGACCTGGTACCAAGTCACGTATACATGCGGTATAATCTGATAAATGGAGTCGTCCACGTGGATGAAACAGTCCGTGTTGTCTACAATGTAGATCACAGAAGCTGATCACAGACACTTGTTTATTTCGTGCAATGCAATGAAGGAGCGAAAACGTAAAGCGAAGAAGGATCGGACTTACGATTCCGAAGGCTATACAAGGAGAGCGGGTTGTTTATGTTTTAGGACAGACCGCGAAGAGGAGGTAAGAAAACTAGTGTGAGAGGATCAAAGGGTCTTTCAGTTTCACGATCCTCAGCTCAGAAGAGAGGGATATTGTACGAATTCAATACTACTTAATTATCTAATCTGTAATGTTATTGAAACCAACTGCAGCATAACTACATCAGGATTTCAAATTATCGAAGTGATACAACATGAAAGTTTCATTTGGATAACGCGACGTGACAGTAAGCACATGTATACACATTTCGTTTTTCCCGCCGCTTGATTTTCAAACACAATGCTTTATCAAAATAAAACCGGGTTATTAAAATTGTTTTGGCGCGAAGAACTGCGAAGAATTTTCGGTAGAAATAGCCTTCATTTTATGGTCTCCCAGTGCAGCACGCCAGGGAAGGCAATTAGAAAAAGAGAGAATTGAAGTATTCAACACAAAGCTGGTATTTACATTGAAAAATGTTGGCGACGTGAGGCAGAAACTTCACTAAGTTAGGCAGATTAAAAAAGTTTTCAAAAACTAGTGGATCGTGCTGTGAAAGAAGGTCACTATTCAATTAGGAGTAACAATATTTAGTAGACATCCTGTTGGTTTCGTTAAAAATAACTCGAAGGTCTGTTTACATTTTTGTTGGTTTACCTTTCGTTTTACACGTGATCTTTTCATTGAAACGTGACGACCGACAGAACGCGTGAGGGTCCTACAGAAACGAAACACAACAGCAGCTACTAGCTACAGAAATGCTACTAGGGAAAATTCTAGTGCAAAACAATTGCTGGTATAGGGGGTTAGAGCTATAATTTAACCTCAAAGTAATGGCTATACGTTTCTAATTAAAACTGATTATGCGTAACTGAACCAATTTGTTTAGACACCAGTATTTGCCTTTTGGCCAAGGGGTTTAGGGGTTCCAAAAGTCAATTTCTTACTTGAGTAACCAAAACGCATAATTGAGCCGATTTCTTTTTACTTTCTTTTGCAATTAAAAAACAGGTTTTATTGGTAACGAGTAACAACTCTCCCGATGAATGGATTGTACCAGCTGGTGGGGTAGAGGCTGGTGAAGAATTCCAAGATGCGGCTGTCCGAGAGGTTTTAGAGGAAGTAAGTGACTATTGCCCTGACTCTTTCCCCACCCCCACCTCAGCTTGATTTTTGCTTTAGTTTACAATGTAAATGTTGCTGAAGTGGTTAAAGACTTGAACATAATGGCAACAGTATGGAATTCAGGGGTGGATCTAGGGAAAGGGTGCAGGGGGTNATATTCGTTTTTAAAATTTGTTTACCTCACCAGTCAGTTATGCCATTTCTTAGTGGTGCACCCCCTCCTAAGAAAATCCTGGATCCTCCCCTGGAATTTCTCTAAATGTCAGTGAGTTATCTCTCCCAAGGATCTAAAGCTTCAGGTTGTAACAGCCTTCTAGCTTCTACCAATAAAACACTAGGTGGCCAGTTGTTATAAAGTTTTACTGCATGTTCTGATTGTAAAACTCTACCAAAGGTTAATCTAACAAGTCATTATCATTTTGCTGTCATCAAGCTAGCAAGCATGGCAGCACTCAAGAAAATGTGCTTGCACAGGTGAGGGGAAGCTCTTATCAGAAAACTGAAGAACAAAACTTCAATTCATTCCCAGAGAAGAAGTCATGTTGTGGTACTCCAGTGGCAGATCTAGGGGAGGGGCCCGGGGAGCCTGGGCCCCCCTTATTTTGGGTAAAAAAGATGAAATGACAGAAAGAAGAAAAGCCGGCAGGGCAAGTAAAACAAAACTGCCCCCACCCCCCCACCCCCTGCTTAGCTCAAGGTCTGGATCTGCCACTGTTCTCCCAGATACAATAAGATGTAGTGCAGTCTGTATTAATGAACTAATGGTCTTTTTTCTTCATTAACTTGCAGGCTGGGGTGTGTGGAAATGTTGTTCGTTCTCTTGGAATGTTTCAGGTATCAAATGTTGCTTCTTTTCTTGCTCAGTGTTTTACAAACTGCACTAAACCCCCCGTGGGGGTGGGGAACTCCCCTATAGAAAGGATGGGGATGCTTTGTTGTATCTTTTAGGGGTTAAAAAAAGCAGTTGTGGTACCTCTTAGGGTGTATAGCCTCAAAAGTGCCTTTTAGACATTGAGCGGAAAAAAAAAATGACGGGATATAAATTGTTACATATAAGAATTGGTACCTCTTTTGGGGGGGGGGGGGAATAAATTTCCAGCCACGCCCACAGTTTAACAGGATCTTGATACCTCTTAAGGGTTCTTTTCAATATTTTCGATGAACATCCCTGTCCTTTTTGTATAGGACTGCCCCTGCCCCCCTCTCTGGATATTGAACATCCTGCTCTCTCTCTGTCGAGAAATTCCCCAGTATTGTGGCTATTCAATTGAAACAGTATTGTTCTCACATACCAGTACTGTAAAACAGTACACTAGTTATTAAATGGAAACCAAAAGATGACAGATCAGATTGTGAAGATGGAAACAAAAAGTTACCAGTTGCAGGAGAAAGGTTGGAGTATTTACTTGGTCAGAGTTAAAACTCCAAATGGAACCTGGCAAGACTGGCAATATCGTCAATCTCATGTGATAGACTTTTTTTTCATTGTTACAGATTTTTAGATACAAAAGATTGTGATTAAACTTTTATTTATCTTTGTATTTAGAATGATTCCAGTAATTCAAGAACCATGGTGTATGTTCTCCTGGTAAACCAAGAGAATGAAACATGGCCAGATGCAGCTAAAGGTAACTTAAGACTTACATGTATCACTCGTCCATAGAATATTTTTAGAGTCAACAAAAGGGTTTTATGAATGTCTGCTTAACTGTCTTGTTTGCTTGCAGGTCGAAGAAGAAGATGGTTTTCAATCGATGAAGCCTGGGTGCGACTCTCTCACAGGCCTTCCCAGCAATCTTACCTGTGTGATGTCATGAAGTCAAAATGGAAAACGGAGCGATTTAACACAAGTTTTGCAGTGTTTGTTGACTCACAGAGCAAAATAACAAAAGATCTTGGAAAAAATTCCTACAAATCCTTTTAAGTTGAGGAATTATGAACAATTTAAATATATGATTTTGTACAAATGTAAATAATATGATTGTGGTATTGTATAATTTTTTCCACGAAATGACGTGAACTTTTAAGCCACATACTTTCACGGATTCCGGGAAAATATAGACAAATGTATGGAAAATTAAAAACGTGACTGGATGCTTCTTAGCACAGCTACGTTCTTCAAATTTGGTCAATACAATGTCTGCAAGTCTCTTAGCTTTGTTTGCTGTTGATAAATTTATCATAATTAGATTTTTAAGAAAATTATTTGCCATCCACGGTTCTCAGGATACAGATACTGTAATTTCTGATGCATGTTGCATTTTATTGTATTTATATTGTATTGTTCACTGAAAAACCCATTTTTCAGGGAGTGTACAATAAAGTTTCATTCAATTTTTTTTTTAATTTTAAACTGTCAACTCATTCTGATTGCTTCCAAAACCATGAAAAGGTCTATTAAATAAGGATTTTTATAATTTTTTGTTCTGATGTAAATATTACACATACCCAATCAAATAAAGAACAGATAAACAAAGCTCAGATATCAAAATTATAAAAAACAAAATATAAGTTGAAATGTTCTTAATTTACGAACACTTCAGTCAGTAACCAAGGTATATTTGAAACCGGTAAAAAACATTCATTGTTATATCTAAAATTTTATACTTTATTGAGTATTATTTATCAATTTAAGGGGCTGATTGTAACATTTGTTTCTCGTAAACCAGAATTGCCCTGTTGGAAAATACAAATTAAAAATTAATTAACGAAACTGTAACATGCAGAAGAAAATTTGGACAGGAAGGATATGGTAAAAAGATGCATAATAATTGTAATTTTGTATTCTTAATGTCGTGTGCAAAAATGTTTCGTTAAACAGCACAATGAACTCACATGAACAAGGGAAAAACAACTCGAGTTCTTAAAGAATAACACTGGGTTGTTAGGAAATGTGCCTATTTTTCACATGAGCGAAGAAAAATTGCATTAGGGCCCATCAATAATGCAAGGCGATTTAACTGTGCAAATTTCAGAAGTGTTACAGTTATTCATTTGCCCCACACCAGCCCTACTCTCTTCGCCACCGATTTCGGTCAGCTTTGCCACGTAGGGCAGAAGTATCTCAGTACCTCTGATCTTTCATGACCTCAATCAATCATTTAAAGAGTGTTTGGGTAAGGGTGCTGAATTCTCGGTTCATTTTTGGTGAGCTAGCAGTTAAAATTTCAACTATTTACCAATCAATGCATCACTTGTATTTTTTGCCCTTATCACGTGCCACACAATAAACTTCGCTACCAGTCAATTCTCTGGCAACCAGCCTCTATTTTGTCTGGTAACAAGACAACCAAGACAACATAAACTGTTGTTCTGGCACCAACGGCCACATATTTTATACCACAGATTGTACACACGCTTATAACTGAGCTGGCCAGCAATTGTTTGTTACAACTCCTGGTCACCTGGATTGCCTCATGGTGTCGCCCACCCTGGCCATGAGGTAACCGGCCCCAGTGTGCACGGGACTTCCAGTCCCGTGGTCCAGACTGAAAGTCCAAAGAAAGATGTGCTAACTTTTCTTTCTTTACACTGTCAACTAAATGAGCGATAAGACAGACGAACTTGGGGCATAATGAAACAAAATTATACAGAAATATTTCTCGTTCTTTAATCAAATGACCATGGAGCTAACAGTCCGGGTGAACTGACTTACAATCCGGGCAAACTGGATTCAGGCGAAATGACTGCAATTCGGCCACCAGAGCAGCTCACCAGCCAATCTGACAGAGACTCGGCACCGGAAGCACATACATGTAGACCGCAAATAGGGATTATGAAGGCCACTAGAAACTTCTATCTGATGCAAGGTTCCATGGTCTCTGTGGCCTATTTCAACAATCTTGCAATAAGAGAAATTTTTCCCCCTTCCTCATTTCAACTGGTCAATGCTTATTTAAGGGTATTCCAATTTGACAGTTGACAGAAATCTGCCTCAGTTAAATGGTACATGATTTACCCTTTAATCCACAAAAACTGGATTCAATTTTAACTTGTTTATTTTGTCATACTGAATTTCCCTCCTAAATATACAAATACTGATTTTGTTTACTTCTACTTTTCACTTGTTACAACCATAAAATCCTATACAGCTTGGAAGTCAGTGGTCTTAAAGTAACACAAACACAACCTTTAAATATTAGTGCAGTACGTAAGTCAGTGCAGAGAACGAAAAGTACTCAGTTTCTACTTCCCCAATTTTTGTGGCTTGTAACTAAATGCCACTTGAGTTCACAACTTATTGCTTTGTTCTTGTGCTATAAAATTGCCAGAGTCTGCGAAAGAAGCAGTACATTATTGTGCTCTTTCCACCTCACAACTCCAGTACGCAATTTCGTCCCCAGAGCCTGCATGGTGTACATGTAGGTCAGCAACCAGGAAATCCTGGCTTGGGTTTGATTGGGCATACATGTTCAAGTTTAATAACTGTTTCTGAACTGCACAGAAACAGTAAACTGCTGTAGCTAATGCTGGCTCACAAAATTTATCCCAGAGGCAATTTCTTGGTGCAACCAAAAGGATTGCAACCTCCAGGAACAAAATTGCTCCAGTATGTCAATAATTTACCAATGGCTTTGGGCCTAAGAAAACCTGGGTTAATATCAAAATCAAATTTCTCCTTACAACATCAATATATTGCCAAGTAGACAGGTGGTGAGAAAAAGGAAAATCATCGACACATTGCCTTGATGTACTGCCAAATTCTTAGAACAGACATTAATTAAAGGATATCTAACAACTGGTAGAGAGAATTGAGGTTTTGAGCTCACCAAATGAAAGGGGATAAACGATGATTTAACAATTATTCTTTTCTCTATGTTCTCGAAATCAAAATCTTAGGTCGGTTTTTATGAGTCTAATACCAGTAACCAGTCTTAAATAATTATACATGCAAGTTTTAACTATTTCCGTTTGCAGCCATTGTTTAGGTTGTCACACAATGTTCTCTTCCACCAAGAAAACACATTGCATGGCAGCCAAAATAATGGTTGTAAAAGAGTCACACTACAAGAACCCAGAAGCTAGGCATTTTCAAATTAGTTCTTTTTCATTGAATTGAGGATTCTGAGGATTTCAATGAACAGGTTGATCATGTCCAGGTACAGGTTGATGGAAGCCAGGATGTACTCCTCGGGGGAGAGTTTGTGCATCAGCATGTGAGTGTCAAAGACAATGAAGGCCGAGAACAGCAGGGCACCGGCAATTGCATACAACAGCTCAAATGTCTCACTGTGGAAGAAAAACTGAAAGACAACAACAGAAAATAGTGTACTGAAAATTAATTTTCCCATTTTGCTCTTTATGCTACTAACAGTGGATAAAGCTGGATTTAACACCTTGAAACTCTTGTTCAGTGGCACAATAAAGCAATTTTTTCAATAATAAATTGTCAATTAATTAATTTTATTAAAAAAAATAATTACTTGATTAATGAAATTTTCACATAATCTACCACATAATTCTTGAGGAATAAAATTAATTAGCCCCAGGCTACAACGTCAGGACTAACTAAGATGCACATACCCACAGTTAAACCCTGCTATTTCAAACTCTCAGGGGAAACAAAAAATAGTTCCAAATAGCGGGAGTTCAAAATAGCCGATAGTAAAATCACTAAGAGGCAAATTCAAGAGAAATTGTTTGGAGTTCTAAATAACTGGGAATTCAAAATAACCAAGTTCAAATTAGCTGGGTCAAACTGTATGTAGCTGAGTATGGTGGCCAAAACAAAAACTTCCATTAATCAACTTTGTCAATATTCTATGCTTAAAAAATTAATTACAAATAGATTAGTTACTGGGTGATACTGAAACAACTATCTTGTTTACTCTTGGCTTCTCAGTGAACTAAACAGAACTTGCAAAATTTTAGATTTTAATTAACACATGTAGTGTTGTTGACTCATGGACTAATACCCTTCACGAAATATCACGGGATAGTTCTATAAATTGTAGAAACTCAAACCAAGAGAAAATATTTTTGGTTTAATCAGTGTTTACCTGGAGAAACCCAGCTAAGATGAGGATCCACAGAAGGCTAAACAAGCTGTCAGAAAACAACACAAACACTGGTTACTCTTTGAATTCTCAAGAGATATCAACAATTTAATGACATCTACTGCATTGAAGGATGTGGAGGCGCAATGGCCTCATGTTTAGCGTGCTTATGTCCGGATCAAGCAGTCCAGGTTCGAGCCCTGGCCAGGGAAATTGTGTTGTGTTCTTGTGCGCACAAGGCACTGCACTCTCACAGTGCCTCTTTCCAGCCAGGTGTATAAATGGGTACCAGTGAATTTAATGCTGGGGGTAACCATGCAATTGACTAGCAACCCATCCAGGGGGGAGTAGAAATATTCCTAGTCACCTCATGCTACAGAAATCGGAGATAAGCACTGGCCTAATGGGCCATATGGCTTGTATGCAGACTTAACCTTTAACCTGTATAGCAAGGATACTATTGAAAAGACAATATGTATTGCTAAAGCCTTAAATCTGTACACCAAAATGACCTCAAAGTTCTATATGGAATAGCTCTAAATGTGATCTACATGTAGTTTAGTAGATACTTCAAGTCTAATTAATGAGCTTCATGGTTCATACAGTTTAATTATACTGAAGCAGTACTACATACTGTACACCTGAGTTCTGAACACTGGAGAGAGTAAACTTGCTGCGAGTCTACTTCTTCTTACTGTAGTGCACAAAATGAGTGAAGAAGTCTTCTCAAACTCATTAACAATTCATCAAGTTTAAACAAAGTAAGTCATGACCATTACGATGTTTGCAAATCTGATCTTTATTAGCATAGATTTTTATGCTCTTATTTCTCTGTTTTCTCTTTAATTTTAGTTTTGATTGAGAAGATATATCAAACACTCAAGACAGTGTTTGACCACATTTCCAAGCACCTTGAAGTTCGTCAAAAATACTCCACTGTGCGTCATATTTTCAACCCTCTTCTCAGTGTTTGGAAATGTGGTCAAACATTGTCTTTCATGTTCGATATATTACATGAAAGTGCATGACTGATTTCTGAGCAACAATGGAAAAATGAACTTTGAGTCCTCAAGACTATCATTAGACAGAGTGAGAGAAGCACCCTTTTGCAAATGGCATTTTAGGAACAACACATACCCAGCTCCCCATGAACTGTAGTCCTTTTTGCTTTGCAGTGTGTACATTGTCAGCGCCATGGTGGTTGCCACAGTCAGCACAAATGCTTCCAACACAAGTGCTTGGTCATAGAATGTCACTTTAACATAAAAAATCAAATCAAATCCACAGTTCAACCCCTCCAAAATGGCCACCCCTAGGAAAATGGATAGCGGCTGCCTAAAAGGAACTGGCTGCTTAATACAGCTGTAGCTCTACAGCTAAAAACAACAGAAAAGCCCTCATCAAGACTTTGATTACTGGCTGCCTAATAGGGGTGGCTGTTTAATAGGTGGCCGCTTAATAGGGGTTGGACTGTGTATGCATTATTGATAAAATTACATTGTGCAGTGGAACCCAGTCTTATGGCACTTTACTAGTCTTGACTTTACCAGTTTTACCGCATAGAGATTAATTTATACACTAGTAACAGCAATGTACCAGGATTTACGGGACCAACCCTGCTCTGCATTGACAGTCCTTACATCCTCCTTCAGTTTGGCAGTACAGTATTTTGTACCAGTTAATGGGTAAACTAGTTTTTATGACGTGAAGAACCAGTACTTACCCAATGTACCCACAGTGTATGCTTCTGCTAATGTCTGAAATGAGACATACACTGAATTTATTTCATGTATTAAAATACAGTACCATGCAGTAGTTATGAAAGGGATCAACCCCAAGGCACATTACATAGAATATAGCAGGTAGGAAACCCAAACAACCTTCATTTTACTAGCTTGGTTAGTGGTGCCGAGAATTATTAACTGTTAGAAAAAAAATTGAAACATAACTAGGTTAAAAACCCCAACTGAACTAGGGAGCAAAGCACTTTGACAGTGTGGTGGTGAATGCATCTTGTATGTCCACTAAATACAAAGGCAAACATGACTAAAAGACTTTTTCTTTCGCTACGTACTGTAAATTATCAAGATTTCTGACATAAAAGTCACAGTTTTGTAACAGAACAAAGAGTTGCAGTGGCCTCATGGTTAGTGTGCTCGCCTCTGGAATGAGTGGTCTAGGTTCCAGCCTTGAGCGAAGAGGGAAAGACACTTTACTGTGACAGTGCTCCTCTCCACCCAGGTGTATAAATGGGTGCTTTGCGAACTTAATGTTGAGGGTAACCCTGCGATGGACTAGAATCCCATCCAAGGGGGAGTAGTAAAACTCCTAGTTGCTTCATGCTACTGAAATTGGGAGAAGCATTAGCCTAGTGGGCCACTTATTTCACATGCAAACTTTTATTTCACCTTGTAACTTTTATAACAGAACACAACAAAACTTCCCCAGGCAATAGGCTAGTCAAGTTTTCAAGCCCTGAAGACCCAAAAGAATTAGTCTGGACTAAGGTCTGACCATCAGACCCAGTATAGACTTTGTGCTTGGTTTATAAAATAGTTATACCATGAGAACTAGGTACTTGACTGACAAGATTCTAACTGTGCAGAATTGCTCAGCTGTAAAAGATTGCATATCAAATGCTAATTACCCAGTACTTCATATGATTACCGAAAAATAATGAAACTCACAAAAGCCAACAGCAGGTACATATTTGTTGGGTGTTCCTTGCGTTTAAACATCAGCCCAATCAACAGGCCAATAGAAAGAATGAAGGCCACCATCAAAAACTCTGGTCTACAAGAAAGATAAAGACTGTGTGGTAAACGAGGAAGTCCATGTCAATCCCACAGACTGGAGTTTATATGGAGCTATTTATAACTATTTTTCATTCGCCGAATTCCCATCCCTTGGGTTAGATTGGCCGCAAATACCCAGACTTGGGTGATCAAATGCCCTTATCTCCTGGATATACCTGACAAAAAGGAGAAATGGCAAAGAAAGAGAACTTCACCTTCAATCACCTGTTTTGAACTCCCACTGTGTCCCAACAATAGCAAGGATAAGCATGATGTTTAAAGCAAAAGGTTAGAGCAAAATGAAACTTTTGCTGTCTGTCTTCAGCTGTTTGACTATGTGTGATTTTTTGTGTGATGCGTTTGCGATAAATTTGATGCTTGACCTCTCTAATAATTGTGAACATTTTGATACATCAACAAATATTGACAAGCAAAATATTTTGCCTTTGGATGTCTTCTCACCTCACCACAATCTTGAGGCAGCCCCACCATATTGTCCAAATCTACCTCCCCAATAACAAACAGTGGCTTTTAATTCTCTTTCCCTGTGGCACATCAACTAGTTGAACGCCCATGGTATGTCTGGGATGTATGTGTGTACGTGTGTGTTTGGAGGGGGGGGGGGGNGGGGGGGGGGGGGGGGGGAGGTGAAAGTTATGGTATGGTATTTGATCAATATTACCTTGCTTGTACAAAACCTTTGATGCTTTCTGTGTACATAAATATTCCCGCCACAATGATGGTAAGGGCAAGCTGGGCTGTGAGAATGCCATAAACCTTCCTTAGAAAACCTGTAATAGAACAAACAACCAAAACGAAAACAACTTAAATACATGTACCTTCCAAGATACTCTACACAAATATCATCTTTAATTTTAATAAAGTTCTAATGCAAGTCTGGACCTGTTTCTTTAGTTTCCAATTAAGTCTGCTCCATTTTTTCAGAAATTTTTTTAAAATGCTTATTCACAAGCTTCAAAGGCGATGTAGAGAAAGATACATCATTTAATGATGTGCGCCCGGAAATAGAGTTTCCATTATTTATATTCAGGATTCGACATCAGATAATGTAACATTTGCATTTTACACGCTACAAAACATTCGAAGATGTACAAATTCATTCCCTGACAGGACTTTTTAACCAGGTTCATATGGTAGAGGATCTAAAACGAGCTTTTACGAAACAACTCAATGAAAGAAAGCCAATTTCTAAAGTTGCTTTCGATTTAAAACTTCCCTAGCAGAGAGTGACCATATTTCCTGATTAACGTATGTATGGGCTTTTGTGGTTTAGAATACAGAACGAATACTCCAAAATACAAACCAAGCCGAATCTTGATATTAGTCTGGGCAACCGTGACTCCATAAGTGAAATCGTCCTCCAAACTCGACAATTTTGACCCTCCAAACATAGCATTTGAATCCGTTTTGCCAGTCGCCATCTTGAACGTCTGAAAATAAACCTCCGCAGCAAGAATTCACTGCGAAATAACGGAGCTATTGATTGGTTGGTTGAAGAGGAATAACCAATCGCCTCTCGCGTAAGAAATTTCCTCAGTTACCCATTCCAAATATGGTGAGCTAAGTGCTTATCTCCGGCTGGAATTATGACGTCAATTCCAATGGCGCCATTTTTGTTGTCGGCGATTCAGGCAGCGTTTTGAATATTTTAATTTTTTCGCTACATTTCTTGCGGTAATCTCAACCGAAAAGCTGTTTCGATGCTCATTCAAACGATGGAGAATAATGAGGAAATCCTTCAAGCGTTGCATGGTAAGTCTGACACACAAGATACGGCTTGTAAAAATAAAAATCCTGGCCGAATTTTCTAGACGAAGGTTTGTGATATTCGTGTTGCTTTTGTTACAGAATTCGAGAACATGACGAATGCAGACAAAGTCCTTACACAAGAACTAGAGGATATGCTTTCCTACATTGCAAAGACTGGCAGGGTCTTGTAAGTACGGATCTGTCAAATATTCCATCATTTTGCGTGATGTCAAAAGTGTATACGCTTACCTTGGTTTAGATTTTCACTGATTAAGTTTAAAGGTCGGGTTTAAATTGATGGCGATCAAACTAATAAACTGAATTCGTTATCAACCCGGTAAATTTTAGGATATTTAAGCGCGATTATGCAACACAAACAGGGGTGTTTATTTACACGTGGTCAAGTCGCCAGCACTATAATTTTACTAAATCAATTTTGGTCATTTGAGAGTCATTTTCCTTCAATTAAACGCCGGCCAGCGGTTGTCATCGATGGATTGCGCAATAATTGTTACTAATTTTCATTTTGGGGATCAGGTGTCAGTAGGTACAAACATACTGTTGCTGAGACTTGCAGGGCCTTGTGTTTTTGCCATATATCACTAAGCAACATGAAGTGCCATACCTAGACTGTGCCATGTGTATATGATTGCACCATTTTCTCGCAAGTGCTTGCCTGAGAAATCTTTGCATCGCATTGTGTCGCTGGGCTGTCATCAATAAGAGTACAGACGGATAAAATTTTAATTTATGCAAGCTTTCAAGTTCAAATTTCAGCTGTCAAACTGTCAACTTTTTAACCAATGAGATTTTATGGACTTTTGTAAGTAGCCAATCAAAAAGCGAGAAAAGCTATTGACGATATTCGCATCATTTTGAATAAAATTCACTTATCTTTGTTTATGGCAAGTTTATACGTCTTTTCCCCTCATTTATTCCTGGCATTTGACTAGCTTGGGGTCTTGTTATTGTAAAAAGCGAATTGACATCAGTTTTTTATGCGTGTGTCCTCTTGTTGATGATAAATTTCGTCACAACATTGTCAATGTTTACTGCGGAACCACTCGCCTGTGGTTCGTTGTTCCACAGCCACTTTGACAATGTTATGCCGCAATTTATCATCAATAAGAGGACAGACATATACAATTTGTTGACTAGACCACAATCAGATTGATTTCACATTCCTATTCCAGACTAGGCACCAAAAACCCCAATGCTATCCCAGACTAGCTATTTTCCATGCAGAAACTTTTCCCTTGAAAGTAGTTTCTGAATCATATTGTAGGAGAAAAACTAGCAATAAGAAACAATGTTGAAACCTCTCCGAGATCATCTTCAAGTTCAAGAAACTTTATTACTATCGTATTCCAGTAAAATTTAATGTTACATGTAGCTAAACCAACCTCTTACAAAGTCACCTCCAAGTTTCAGTTCCTATTATAGAACCCCAAGTGAAGAGCCCTATTCTAGACTAAGTTAGTTTTATGCTGGCGACTTTTCCAGTCAATTATATCCTATTCTAGTCCAAAACTGTCTGATTTCTATACCCTATATCAGACCATACCGCCTGAAAACCATACCCTTCACAGCGGCACATACCTAAATAGCTTATATAAGGGAGTACCTCCCCCCCCCCCCCCCCCCCCNCCTACCTGCCACTCAGTGCTTGCGCAACAGTGCTGTGTAATCAGATAGTAGAATCAGACACTTTTTAAACATAGATGGTAAAGCTGGGCTGTGAGAGTCACTTAAACAAAGATAATAATCCATTATGGTGCTCTCTCGTGGTGTGAGCAAAGTCAACTTGTCTTAGTCATTTCAACTGGCAATGCTGTTAAAATGGATGGTTGCTCTCATGGATTTTCATGAATCATGGATTTATGATGTACCGGTAATGGGAATTTCAAAGAGCACTCAAGAAGCTGGAGTTGCTCTCAGCCATACTTTTCATTGAACAACTCTTACACTTCTTTCAAGCTCTTCAAATGTCTTGCATGTGTAACGACTTGGTGATGCATGCTAAAGCATTAATTAATAGAATTTGTTAATTTATAATACGTGGTTTAAGGCAAATTTGCCCTAAATGGGACTTGTTCCCTTGACTGATTTATTGTCAGTGGTGTCTTCATGTGTGTGCAAGAGTCTTCTAAAACTGTACAAACCAGAACAGAAGCTATTACTATAAACACTACAGGGCAATTTTTTGTTATTACAAGTTACACAGTCAGGCATTTGATTGATTACTGGGTATTTGATTTTCAATTGATAGAACCCAGTCAAATGAAAGTAAGTCTGGGTTGGATCAAATTTTCTTTATTCCTGTTTCCTTAGGTTTCCTTGGGATTCATTAAAACCTGTGTTTCTGTTCAAACTTGACAAGGTAAGACATGCAGTTATGATCATCAATTTGCAGTACCTTGATTCTCTGGGCTTACATCTCAGTATAGTTACCGGTAGTTAGAGCAGCGTTCGAGTGCTATGTTCTGAGCAGAGTCAACAAAGCATAGCCAATTTGGTTATTGTCGATTATGTCATTGTTTTTGTAGACACTAATACAATTTAGCATTCAATAATAATATTAGAAAGTAAAAAAAAAATATATTTTCCTTTCAAGTGTATTGATTGTTTGTTCATGGGCCATGAGTGAATGTATGCAATGATAAGGGATTTAATCCCATACAACTGCCAGGATGTACATGTACTAGCTGAACAGGCATTTTTCTTAGCACGAAAACCATTTTCCTACTAGTCCAATTGAGTTAATTAAAAATCCAAAATATTTAAAACTTTCTATGATACGATCTCAAATTTTATGCAAAAAAACCTCCACTTTCCCAATTGAGGTTGACCAAACGCAAAACCTATTAGGCCCAGGCCATCAGACCCTACTTTCTCTGCACGCTGCTCACAAATTTGCAATAGACCATTATGAGAGCCTAAATGTAATTAAGATCACAACCTTTGTTAAACTAACATAATCAGTAAAATATTGCTGAACAAACTACAGCTCTTAAGAATTTTCCAGTACATGTATAGCTTTTGTTTCAGGGGCCATGTAGTTGAGTTTTAGTCTCAGCATGTACTGCACAGTGTATTATTAATAGCTTAAATTTATTTCTGTCAATAACAGAAATCACAGACTTTAAAGTTGAATTGTAGAAAATTTGATAAATTATGTGTACCTGTTGCCTACACTGTACATGTAACTCCTCAAGTCAGAGTGGTACATAAGACCTCCACATTTGTTCTCTATCGGCTTTGTCTTGCACTGTGGCATGCACAACCCTTACCCCTGGACTGCCACCAACTCTGGGCCTCTCCCTGTTCACTGTATGTCACCATGTTGTTTTTGGCTGACCTCTCTTTCTCTTTCCCTTGGGAGAGTGGAGCATTTCAGGGCTGTGATACGGCAATTGTCAGTTACTAGTCTGAAGATGTGTTCAAGGAATCTTGATGAGCTGAGGGTAAAAGGTTTTGCACCAAGTAATTTTGCTTGGATTTCCTGTTTCAAAATAACACAGACTTGTTTGCAAACTTCACATCTTTTACCAGGTCATGAGGGAATTTTTTGAGAGTAGCCCATCCAGGAATGCATCGTCCTCTGAGCCAACCGTTACAGCAGATTTTGAGGTCATGAGGCAAAGACTGTTGGACTGTCTGGATTCATTCACAAGGTTTAATGCAAATTTACAACTATGTTTGTTGTGGTTCAATTCTTCCCTTGACACAATTTGGTAAAGTGTTCCTTTGTTTTGGTGTTTGGTAATACATGTACATTGTATACATTGCATGTATTATAATATAAATAAAACAAATGAAAATGCCGAATTTTACTAAGGGTAATATTGAACCACAACATATTTGTATGTGAAGGTGAATTAATCAACATGACACGAGCGTGGGACAAAGAAAAATTCTGAGTCCCCGACAGGAATCGAACCNACCTCCCGAACACCGGGTGGGCGCTCTATCCACTGAGCTACAAGAACTCATGGAGAGCAAGGTCATTTAACTGAGTTCATATATGATATGAGTAGTGATAAGTTGATAAGTTATGAGTTATGAGTTCTCGTAGCTCAGTGGATAGAGCGCCCACCCGGTGTTTGGGAGGTCATGGGTTCGATTCCTGTCGGGGACTCCGAATTTTTCTTTGTCCCACGCTCATGTCATGTTGATTAATTCACCTTCACATTTCATTATCGAGCGTAAAATTCACCATCTTTATTAACTTATCACAACATATTTGTAAGTGATAATCAAGATGTGTAAATTCTAGAGCTCTGCAGATTTGGATGTCATTGGTTTTTGTGTTGGAAATCTGGACATATGCAGCTGTACATGCACTCAATTTTTTTTTTTTTCATCTAGGCTTACTATTATAATGTTTTCATGACACATGTAACTGGTGATGATGGATCATTAATAAATTATATGTATGTTAACTGTTATATCTTTATTTTATTTTTTTGTTATTATTATTACTTATTTTATGTATTATTTTTGTTCAGTGCACCATTCACCATTCAAAGACTTTGTGAGCTGATGATGGAACCACGAAAAAATTACAGCAACAGTGAAAAGTTTATGAGAGGAGTTGAAAAGGTGAGAGCCAGCTGAAATCCATGTTATTATTAGTGAAGAAATATATGTTATTTGCCAGTTAGGAGGTCTGTATAGTTAAAATCTGTGACCAAGGTCTGGGAAATGCTGCCCAAGGCTGTAGGCTAACGACAGCATTTTCAAGCCAGAGATCACAGATTTTCACGATATGGACTGACCGTAGCCAGCAAATAAGTTTTTCGTACAACTAGTCCCTGCAACTAGTCCTGTGAAGAGTTTACACAAAGGGACTTTGTCCCATGAACAGTTCACAGTTGAGGAACGAGGTACAGGGACTTGTCCTTAAAGCTGAAACAAGTTTGAATTTGTGGGACTAGTTGCAGGGACCAAATTTTAGTCCCTGCGACTAGATTTTGCGGCAAAAATGGCTATTTCACATGATGGGACTTGTCCATCCGACTTGCAGGGACTATTCGCAGGGACTAGCCCAACCTTTAATTTCTCAAACCACTTTAATTTACATAATTAATTGTTGACTTTTTCCACGCACACATCGTGTGTGCATTGCCATGACCATGGGCAGGGATAGGAAAATCCAAACTGCACTAAAAACCAATCAGACTGCAGGATTCATTGCTATACCCTCTTGGAAATAAATAAAATGTATTCTTTCAGCTGTGACACCAGATCTCACAAAATTGAGTTCAGACAAGAGTTCACAGATAAGTGTAAGATGAGAGCATTGAACAACTTTTCTTTGATTTTTAGAATGTTCTTGTGGTTAGTACTGTTGAGCTTGGCAGGGATGACATTACTACGTGAGTATTGTGCTAATCATTTAGCAATTTCTGTTTATTATTTCCATCCAGTGTCTCATGGCTACCTAAAGGGGAAGGGGCCAGGGTGCGACAAAAATGGTGTCCACTTACCCACTTGTCCCTTGGACAAGTAAATCTTCCAAAAATGATGTCAAATAATGTGTGAAACCTTCGGCAGAAAACACTGCTCAGGTGAATGTGAAAAAAAAAATATGTGGCAACCCAATTATACGAGCTTGGAAGTACAACTTGAATTAACATGTAGGTGTGGACAAGTGGAGCAGCAATATACTGACACATGTAATGTCTTATACTGTGGGGATTACAGTTAGCATGAGAAATTAGGGTAACTTCACTGATCAAAACATTATTTCTCAAGCTGTCTCAGGGTGCAATGAAAACAAATTTTAGGGCTTGCCTTTGGACAAGCTCTCACTATGGTGTTTTTACCTAAAACTCATTCTCACTAGCCCCCAAAAAGTCCATTTGTTGCAGAACAAGCAGATAAGTGGAAGAGCAATACACGCCTGTTCAGGAGGCTAGTTCTTCTCTTGCAGAACTTCTGTACTTTGATTCCTCAAAAATTTTGTCAAGTTAAAATGAAGGTGGTATATGGGGTGACAGGACTTTTAATGCGGGATGCAGAATAAAAACATTTTGGTAGGAGAGGGATTTGCTCATTTTGACAGGCAGGATGCAGGACAGTTTTAAAATTGACGGCGACATGCGGGATGAAAAACAGAAAATCACAGGATACGGATGTTACCTGGAGAACTGCAACTCTATCCAGGCGGGATCAAGATAGACATTCTGACTGGGGTGGGATGGCGGGATTGAGGCAAAAATAGTGGTGTGATGCAGGATTGAAAAAAACCTTATTGTACTTTCCCTTTTCACCAGCTTTAACCTAACAAACAACATTGATGGACAACACATGTTGTCAAATGTGCCAAATGGCCCAGTTACAAATGGAGTCATGACTTTAGCAGTGACTTCCGAAGGGGACTCACTCACTGACCATGGCTTTGACAAACGCCTGTCACCTCATGTCACGCCAGATAGTGTGACATCTAGTGTCACGCCAGACACAAATGGACCAACACCTTTAAACGCTTATGAAAATGGCCACGAAACCCAAGAACATTACAACGGTAGCAGTTCAACTGCGACGGGAGCTGCTGCTGAAGAAAAATCCATGGCACCAGAAGAAGCCCCTCCACCAATACAAGAACTAAGTGAAGAAAAAACTGTTACAAATAAGGAAAATGAAACTACTCAAGGAGAGGAAGCACCTGAAAGTGAAAGTGCGGATGGTGTGCCTGTGGATAAGGAGGCAGAGGCTGGCATCCCTGCAGAAGAAAAACAAGCCACAGACTCAAGTCGAGAAGAAGCGAAACAACCGCCAGATTCTGACGAAGGTGAGTGGACACATTTCTTATGCATACATGATGCAGTACAGAGGCCTCCCTTGTAAGTGGACACATGTTTTATTCAAACATGATGCCATGCAAACATGCGAGACATTGTCAGCATTGTGTACTTGACACCTAGACTGCAATACAGTCGTTTTCGGACGTTTTCGGAAGGCGTGAAGCACCGTAAGCGCGATCCTCGCGTGTGAAGCGCGCGAGGATCGCGTCTCTCTCCATTCTCTCTCGCCGTTTTTACACTCGCTCCAGACCTTTCGTTCGAATATTGACCGTCGCTCGCGTTCGCAAAAATACGACTGTTTTGCAGTCTACTTGACACCAAGCAGATGAAGGTTCCTCCTGTGAAACTTGTTCATCATCTGTACATGCATACTGTTTCATGGCATTGCAAATAGAGATTTCTTTGCAAATGCTTTTTTCCCTGATCAGCAACTGGTCGGTTTGAAATTTTTTGTACTACAGTAGAAGGCACCTCAGTGTTTCTATTTGCTGAGATAGAAAAAGCCATCTAACAGGCCTTATCACGGTTTTCGACGCCATCTTGACGGGTAGGCAAAGCAGACAGAAATTATGTTTGTATGGGAACCCGATGGTAAATAACGTTTGTTAAATTGAATTTGCACAACTTACGAATCGCAGCTTAACCAGGCTAGGTTTCAGATTGTATTCACTAAATTTGAAGGACGTAGCTGAGCTAGAAGACGCACAGTTAACTTTAATTTCCCATACATTTGTCTGTAATTTTTTCCCGCGAACCGCGTCTACCCAGCCAAATATACAGACAAATGTATGGAAAATTAGAAAAATTAACTGAGCGTCTTCTAGCCAAACTACATCCTTCAAACTTGGTGAATACAATCTTCTACCTAGTATTTTAACTTTGTGATTCACAAATTGTGTAAAATTGAGTAAAAGTTTTCTGCCATCGGATTCCCATACAAACACTGTAATTTCTGACTGCTTTGCCAACCCGTCAAGATGGCGTCAAAAACCGTGAATAGACCTACTGTTTTAGGACAACCCACAAATTGATCTAACAAACAGCAAAAACACAAAAAGAGTATTATTTCAGAAACTACGACATCTACAGACAAATGTACAGACAAATGCATGGAAAATTAGAAAAATTAACTGAACGTCCTCTAGCCGAACTACATCCTTCAAACTTGGTGAATACAATCTTCTACCTAGTATTTTAACTTTGTGATTCACAAATTGTGTAAAATTCAGTAAAAGTTTTGTGCCATCGGATTCCCATACAACCACTGTAATTTCTGACGGCTTTGCCAACCCGTCAAGATGGCGTCAAAAACCGTTAATAGACCTACTGTTTTAGGACAACCCACTAATTGATCTAACAAACAGCAAAAACACAAAAAGAGGATTATTTCAGAAATTATGACAGCTAGCAACACTCCCTCAGAGCTACTTTAGTCAGAGTTATTTACTCCATGTTTGTGTAAGATATCTGTGTGGAGATAATAGATTAAGTATGACATTTCATAGGAAAGAAAAGGGAAGTATGCAAATTTTCTTTTTTATTTCAGCTGCAGAATCTGCTCAGCAGGAGACGACAGAGGAATCTAAGAGCCACGAAACAAGTGAAACAAGCAAAGAGCAAGCAGAAGAACCTATGGATGAAAACTAACGCTATCCTGTTGTAATATTCCAGTTTCTCCATAAACCGTTGGCTCGGCAAGTCGCTACGCTATTTTCATTGGTTTCCATCCGTTCCGAATACAAGAACACACAAGAAGAGATTGCCACTTTTTTTTCAATTTTTCAAATCAAAGTGTTCAGAAAGTACATCGAAAGTGGAGCACTTGAGAATGTTCGGTTATTTATACTGTATTTGTTTGTTTTTCATTTCTTTTACATTTTCATTCGTTGTTTCAGTC